GTGCTAACATGTGCTCTACATGCACCATAAGTGATATCAACAAGCCTAATAAATTATCAAAAAGGAGTATGAATTACCACCCAGTAATTTTACATTGCAGCATTCAAATTCCATAAACAGCAACTAAGGACACAAAAAGGTTAATAGTTACATGCTGTTCCCATGCAAGAAGTAAAAGTTCATGAATAATCTTAAGGATTCTCACTCCCCAGAGAACTTAATCAAAGCCTGCCACAAGGGTGAAAAATGGAAGGGGGAAAACTTCAGTGCTCTGTACCACGTCATAGCAGATGACAGTCAAATGATTTTAAAGTTGCTTATTGTGATAGAGCATATAGCTGGAGCTATTCTGGGTCTATGAAAGGAGGGAAAGGGTAAAAGACAATTCACATATAACAGCTTGAAAGGAATCATCCTCCAAGGTATGGGACATTCTGTTTACAGAAGTGTGACACGCCTTCCTGTAAGGTCAAGTTCAGGGCTGGCTCCTGGCACCCAGCTTCCTCTGACCTGAACTGGGTCAATCCACCTCACAGCCTTAACAGGTTGCCAACCACCGACTTAAAAAAAGTTCCCTTTTGCTTAACCACTGGACCCAAAGCCTCCTTGCCAGTGGCTCACAACACTAAATTACAGCAGGTCTTTATATAGCAAAAGACATCCAAAAAAAAAAGAAAATACTTCCACACGTTTAACTTTCCACACAAATCGTCCCACTGTGTTCACTGGGTATGTTTATATGAAGTTAAGGATGTACCCTGAATGTTTACAGCATTTGAGCATGTGAACTAAGCCAATCTCTTAGCGATGTAGCAAAGCTTTTAAAGATGGCATTTAAAGAAATTATGATTCAAGCCTCAAAAACTAGTCAGAATGAAAAGCAGCCACAGTTAAAAGCCTGAAATCTGAACCGCAGTAATTTGTCCTACGTATGGCAATTTCCAAATCTAACAGATTGGGGTAAGGATAACATGTCGCCTTGAAAAGGATTTATAGATTTAACTTCTATTTTTAAAAAATATTTTTTCAGTATTTTTATGCTTTATTTAGCATCTGATTGAGACAACCTTCTCAAATACATGTCTAAATTTTGATGCATGAAAAAGGAATAAAGGAAGAGTATTACTGAAAGCAGGCTGAGTTCCTACCAATGCCATCTTCAGCATATACTTAAAGTTAAGAATAAGTATCCCATAAGGATACCTTTTCAGATGTCTCCACCTCAAGATTAAACAAGCTAAGTTTCAATGTCCCTCAGACAAATCTATGGAAATTTGATCTGATACAGTTAAGAGTAAATACTAAATCCTCAAAATGGAAATGCTGACAAACTTAACTATAGCAGTGTGAGTGGTGCTGCTATAATCAAACCAAACAAACCAACAATATAATTACCTTCCGATTATTCTGTTTATCCATCCTGAGTCTTTTCCTAGGTGCTTCCTGAACTTCAAAATCTTCTGTTGGTTCCTTTGTCCTCTTTTTTTGGTTTCTTTTATTTCCATGTAAGTTACCTTGGAATGGGGGGGATGGGGGAAACTTACATGAAAAATAATCTAAAGCCCACTTTGAAATTATCTTGAACTGATCTACTTAAGTTACTTTTCTTTCAGTCATTACTTTTAAAACACGGTTACCATTAACAAATCTGATAAACTTCTTGATGGCTAGGGTCCAATTTCTATTGTTGAACAACAGTTCTAAAATGCATCCAAACTCCTAATTACTAAGTAATCAACTTGGTAGATTTTTCTGAGTAAATACTAGTGTAAAGAGCTTCTCAAATTCATTTCACATCATCAAATAAAATACAAATATCCTACAGCTATAACTGTCCTATTACTTTGTAACAGTGTCTTACCACTGTACCAAAGTTTGTGTCATCTTCACTCTTTAATTATTCCTCCCAAAAATATAAATGAAGGTACAAGAGACATGTATTAAGGGGTCTCTGTCACATAGGATATCACCAATTGGACAGGTCACTGGTGTTTTCTGGCATAGCAATTTCTAATTCTCTATGTAACAGGTGTAATTATCAAAGCAGAAGACCATAATTGTTTTGTGAACAAAAAACTACCACTCAATTCACTAAGATCATTTTTAACTGCTTAAATAATTCACAAGTTGTTTAACCATCCATTTGCTTAATTCAATGTAAAAGTTCAAACAACTGACTCAAATACAAAATTCCAGTGACTAATCTACATAGCCATCCAGCAGGTTTAGCTATAGTTTATATCCACTACACCTCAGAGAGACAGATAATTGGGTAAGAAGTTGTTTCATATGATGAAATGACCCTAATACACTCTTTTAATATCAGACACTCCAGTACTGAGGCTATAGACCATCTTTAATATGGAGATTATAGAGCCCCAGGGCACAAATATTTACTGAACAATCTTCTCTTATAGTTAACATTTAAAATTTTGCTCTACAGCTAAAATGTGCTGTTTTGACGGAAACATTTGTTGTAAATATTTAAAATAAAGCTGCAGCTTTAAAATGAAGTACTACTTGTCAATTTTTTTTCCATATCTAATGGCTATAAGTTTTTTTTATCAGTTTAAATTCAAAGCAGCTCTGAATCTGCAAACAGACTGAAATGGGTCCAGGAGAACCTGCTATTTACAGAAAGCCAGCGTTTAAAAAAAAATATTTTTGCAAGTTAGGGTGGCAGGGTTTAGATGGGCAATGATTGAACTGACATGCTTTCATTTGTAGAAAACTATATATAAACGTACACTAATATATGGACTAGAAACATCTGATACAGGTACAATTCCAATTACATTTCTCGCAATATGACACTGAGGAAGGTGAACAAAATTCAGCACTACAGTGTTTAGATATTTAATTTGGGATCCATTAAAATTCTAAGTCAAGGAAGACAACATCTGAGAGAAAATAAAGAGGTTATGATATGTGGGCGATTACATAAGAGGTACACTCAATAGCTACTTATAATGATGAACTAATTCCACACAACACAAATTTCAATTACTTCTGGATCTTGATCTCCTTTTAGGTGAGTCTTGAAACACTTTACGTTTGGTCTCTCCAATATTCTTCAATGATGAACCTTGAGAGATACAGAATGTTGTGGTTTTTTTAAACTGATATCCAAATATTTGACACTTTAAAATTAAATAAAAAACTTTTGTCAGTTTTCCACAAAATGATGTTATTTCACACACAAAGAAATATAACAGAACTGACTGCCATTTTATACATTTTTTTTCCAATTCGGACAATCTTTCAAACACTCCCTCTCATTCTTTTTGTTGCCCAAAGCAGCACCTGGTGGTTTCTAATACTTCCACAGCAGGCCCTCCCATAGTTCTGTAAAAGCACTGTGCATACCAACCACATTTATAATTTAATTTGGTTTAAGAAGGATCATGCAAATGTCACGCTCCCTCTGTTCCTGTTTTTCAAGGAAACTACTCTCTAATCTCCAATTATCATAGCAAAAATTTAAATAAACTATTTTTCAAGACTGAATCCAAGCCAACAGCAAAAAAATGTCATCTTGCAATCTCTTAACGCTGTCTTAAAAGCTTTGAGCAGCACAGTAAAATGCCAAAAGGAAGAAAGATGTAGAAAGAGTTTGGAATACTTGCTTCCTGAGCTGATGCCTGTTATGAGGTAATGTACTTTTAGAAGAATATATAAAGAAAAGGGGTAGTATTGATTACACTTTATAAACCATCTCTAACTAGTCTTATAAGAACTTACTCAAATTTACATTAATAAAAATGCCCAATCTTCCCATTCCCACCACCCACATTTAACAGGCAGTGGATATAATGGCAGCTGCTTATAGGCAGAAGAAGAATGAGAAATCAGCAATCTCTAAACAGCAGAAGGTTTACATATAACAATTTGCAGAACAATGAGCAAGAAATGTAGACTTCATGGGTTGCTTTTATTTAACCATTGGCATTCTTTTGCTATTGGCACAAACACCAAAAATTAAAACTGGAAAACAGTGAAAGCCGTTTTCCCTACAGGTCTCAAATATGTGCTTAGTTTAAACACCTCTATGTATATATCAAATTTAGTTAGAGTACACTAGCACAGTTTTACGTTTACCAGAGTCTTCTTCAGATTTGGGAGAGGTCACTATGGCAAACTTTGTGTTATAGCGAGCTTTCTGTTTTTCACTAAGCATGTTCCACTGCGATTCAAGCAGTTCTTCAATCTCCTCACTTGAAGCATCTGGATGTTCAGCAACAACCTATGCATGCAAAATAGGGTTTATATTAAAGAGATAAACATTAAAAGAACAATGAGCATATTTGCACTGCTTTAAGTAGGAACTTGACACACATAGAATTGTGTAACATTTCTGTTGTGCCCATAAAAAATACATTAAGAGCACAGATTAGAAGATTCTCTGCATATCCTATTTATTAATTAATTTTAGAATCTTGTAATATTTTGCATTAGGAATAATTCTGAAGTATAGTAGATTATTCTAAAAGTAAACAGCTTTTTAAACAATCAGAAAACTGGATAAGAATGAAGCCTACGACAAAATGTATT